CGATGTGAGTATCTATGATGAATAACTAAATCATGACCGACATAAGTCACAACCAAGGAACCAGCATCAGGATGTGGCCAGCTTCTTGAAGTAGGGAACCTGAGAATGAAAGTTCCCGCTACTTGATTCTGAAGCGAACGTTCTGCCTCTTCTTTAGTCACAAACCCTTCTATCCATTTAGGCGAAGCTGAGCGCCACATTCCGTTAATCAATCCCCTGGATATAGCCGAAGCAACAGGGAACAACCAACACCACATTTTCTCAAAATTCTCTTGAGTTATGTATTCATAGCATCCACATATTCTTCTTAGAAGGTCAAAATCCTGATTACAATTTAATGTCAGAATCACGGCGACAAGAGCAAAACTTTGATCTTGGTGAAAGAAATATGACCTGGTGAGTGAGAGATCTACTGCTGCATTTAGCTATTCTCATGAAATGTTCTTCAATCTCAATTACCACATTGTCCCAATGAACATGTTGATAGTTCCGAGATATCAGATTCCACGCATTTGTTCCTTCTGCTATCAATTGTCTTGCCATTTTGATTTGATAGCTGGAAAATTTGAAAGATTAGTGATCTATTTTATTTTCGTAATATACATATTTGAGGCAGGTGTGAGTTTAATTTCATTTCTTTACCTGTGGTGGAAGCATCCGGAATAGAGAGAAACTTGATCTACAAATTCCGAGACTTCTTCATCTGATGAATTATTTGTGATTTCCTTCAGAAGAAGAGCTCTCTCTGTTAAGTTTCCAAGGCAGTATTTGAAAATAATCGAGTCTGAGATTGTATATCTCCTGAAAGCAGTCGAGTCTCTAATTTCAGTGTTTTCGGAATCAGTTGAAGAGTTATCTTCTTCGTCTTCTTCTTCATGGTTCTGAGGTCTCCATTCCATACTCGTACCATTTCCATTCTCAGTCTAACTCGAAAGAAACAACAATGCAGAATAACAGTACGTGGGATATGGATACAAAGCAAAACAAACGTAACTCAGAGAAATTGATTATGTACCTCACTCTCAGAAACCTTTTCTTCCCCTAATCTGATCCGTTTCATAGAGGAAGAGCTATGTAGAATGTCGGATGTTCCATTACTTCTTGAAGCAAGTTCTGGTTCTCCTCCATCTAATGGATAATCTATGCGATTCGACCTTTTAGGGGTAAGAGAATCATGGTTCCTCGAAATGCAACGGATTTGGTTGGTAACAGTTTCAAGGAAAGGATAATAGGCCTTCACTTCTGGTATTTCGAATTTGACACAGAACAATCTCTTATCACTCTTGGAAGAAAGCTACAAGACAAATCAAAACAAGAATCCTTCAATGCCTCTAAGAAGAGACAAGAATTCTAACGAGAATGTGATATCCCGTTCCAAAGGCTTAGAATTTATTATAATCACCACCTGAGATAATTTGAGCTTGAAAGAAGCACATCCGTTCAATAAGTTGCATGGCTTATCTTCAGCAGAGAATTCAACTCCTTCATAGCTTACCAAAAGGGGAGCCTCCGAGTCACTCATCTTCTCAACTGGCATCCCACTATCAGCATACAGTAGAGAAGCCACAACCTGCAACATCAAACCAATAATGCGCTACCAGAAATACTTCCAGAGCTAAACAAACACAAAAGTTTAGAGAAAGCATAAGAGAATGAACCTTCACATCCTTGTGCACAGGCTGTCCAATAGCATTGGTTAAAACAACATCCAAGGAACAAAATGTTCCGCTAACGATAATCCAAACACCATCTTTATCTAATCCAATTCCAGATGTAGATGGCTTATCAACAGATAACCATAAAGGTGGGTCCTGGCGAAGAAATGAAGCGAAATAAAGAAACACAGGACAAGAGTCTTTTGTTGAAAAGGAGGAGAGGGCAAAGACAAGAGACTACCTTTGTGTAGTGATAATTTGCCGGGACATTAGAAGGCAAAACTTCAGCACAGTGGATGAAACCCTGAACACTATAACCATCTCCACCAACACTGAATAACGATATCTTTCGTGCGCAATCTGAATTTGTACTATTGGTCATCAAGGAAGTTAAGACTTGCTCTCCTACAATCTCTCCACAAATATAAAGGCGCATGTAGTTTCTAGAAACCTAAGTGACACCAGAGATCAGTAAATGCCCAGAAGATAGATATTGAATAAAATAATAAGAGTCCTCAGAGATCTTATAATTATTATTACCTCGCAACCCACATGAACCCATTTTTGAAGAGGAAACTCAGCAGTTGTAGAAACATTAGGAACTTCAGTCCAAGAAGAAATGTTAACAGGATCAGGAGCTTCATTGTGAAGGAGAGTCAATGGCAAAAGCATCATCTTCTTGTTTTCATCTAGAACAAGGAAAGGTGCACTAACGCTCATGTCAGAGTGAACCTGAGAAGAAAGCCACTATTTTTAATCAGAAGCTGTTGTTTCAATCAGACACTCCT